GGAAATTTTTTGGGTTTGCATGTAATATTATTTTATTAAAAAATGAGTGATTGAAGATAAGATAGAAAATTGTATTTTGAAAATAATGAGAGACCAAACAAGGGCTTAATAGAGATATATGAATGTCACATATGAAGAGATTTTTAGTTCTAATCAAGAGAGATTATTAAAAAATTAGTAACATTGATCTTCATATCCGAATGTGTGTGTCTAAATTATGAATTAATGTTAAAATGGATGAAAGCAGGGGGATTCGGTGTTCTAGTATTTATCAATTACTTTAGTTTCATAACGCTTCCAAGTTAATTAGTTAGATTAGTTAATTTTGTACATATTTAGATTATTAATTAATATAAAACTCATCCAAAAACTTGTTCTTCTATTCGATTGAAATTGACGTCAACTAGAAACTAGATTAAGTACTTAGTCTTCATGGGAGTGATACTTTACTCTTTTTTATTACTTGGCTATGATGCCAAACACTTGGCTAGATCAATTGTGATTGCTGTTCATTCTCGGAGAATTCAAGTAAAATGCAAGCTATTTCATTTGAATTTTAGACAATGTGAACAACAATTTAATATTATCTAACATAACGGGTGCTTGACACCAGTATGGATCACAGTTCATCCATAAGGGTGCTAAGCAGCTATGACGATACAGAACATCATTCAGGTTGCACTATAAATGCACTACAAACTTAAAGAATAGTGTTCGTAATTTATACATATTCCAAATAAACAATAATTGGCTCGTACAATATTTCTTCTATTTGTCAATTTGGTTAAGCTTCCCAAGACCATTGCAACGAGCACATACAATCTGCGCCTGATCTTTCCTGGCTGCATTTGCCCTCAAGGTTGATCCTGCTTTCCTCACAAATCCTGCTCCATCACACTCTGGGCACCTATAATTGCCACCAATTTGTATAAATAATCAATGATTCAAAAATGAAAAGAAAAAATGGTAAGAAATAAACTTTCTCACGTATCCTTGCGGGAGAAGACTATCGGGAAAGCTGTTCCAAACAGCGCCACTGCAGCGGCACCTGCTATCAGATAGGCTGTTCCGTCTGCTGAAACGTCACCAACGGCGGCAACCACAGGCAAGGTTCTTCTTTCTTTCAGATTTCCAACTTTAGAGGCCAAAAATGATGGAGAATCAGGCAACGTGGATTGCCTTGAGAAATTTTTAGAGAAAAGAGTCTGAAGAGGAGCTATGGATGCCATTTCTGAAAGATACTGAAATTTCACTTCACTTTAAGCGCAGTTTGGGATAATTGTGAAGCACTAGATATGGATAAGGGGAAACCACATCATAACTCAGTTCGTCTGGATTAAAGGGATAAGCAAGGTCCCACGTTAATTAGTTTCCAGCTGTAAGTTTCTATCAAGGTCCAAAGATATAAATATGTGGATCTGTGGATAAAATTGACCATTAACATGGAAAATCCATGGCCCTCCCAACCTACCCACTTCTTGGTTTGAACCCGCTTAACAATCTGTGAAGCAAGACTTGCCACGAAATAAATTGATTGCACTATGAAGGTCAACTTATTGTAGTTGTGAGAGTATAACATAAGTTTAAAAATCGTACTTTCTATTAACTATAAATCCTTACAAGACAATTACAGATATGAAAAATATACTGTAAAATCTACATAATAACACCACTGGGCATCAAGATTGGTGAGCGAACTAGGTTCAGATCCTTGTACCCTTTTGTATCATCAAGGATGCCCTATCTCAACCAAGAAACTCTCACAAGTCCCCAAAACTACGGGTTGCTTTGATGGACCGAAAAACAAGGACTCAACAACAGATTTCACGCACAGAAGAAAACCGCTCAGATTTTAGATCTCACAAATAGAAGAAGAATCGACTTACACATAGAAAACGAATGGGAAGAACAGAGAACCGAGAAGGTTCTACACGGTTGGGAAAAGAGAAAATGAATAAAGTCTTACAAATTAGGGTTAATGACCCATATAGATAGAATCAACACACAACCCTCGATCTATCCTTCATCCAACGGTCCATAGAAATGTACAAGATTTGGGTTGAATATCGGGTCATGGGAGTGGGCCATCTCAAGTGATGTTATTGGGCAAGGTTAAGTATTTCGGCCACTTTCTCATCATCGCCTAAACAATGGACTGGACTAACATTACAGCCCAACAATCTCCACCATGATGCCAATGTAACACTAGAAGCCTATAGTATACATTCTACAAAATTAACATCCTGAAAAACATTAGCTTCCTAGCATTTCTAGTTGGCACCAAGCATACAACCTGCAAACACCACAACATTTACCCAATATCAACATTCAACATTTGCAAACAAGTTTTAAACTTGTTTAAAGGTAATCCCTTTGTCCTCATGTCTGCTGGATTAAATTTAGTAGGAATTTTCTCAAGGAACAAAATTTCTTTAGAGACAATATCTCTAATAAAATTCAAATTTAAATCAATGTGTTTTGTTCTTTCATGATAAACTGGGT